GGGCTGGGGGCTGGCGGTCCCGGGCACCCAGGGCGGACCACATGCCCTATTGCTGATCCCATGCACAGCCACAGTCACCCCCTCGGTGGGCACAGCAGACCACAAACAGCCTCCTCCTGACTGCCCAAGGACCCAGCAAACTGGTCTTCACCACCTTTGCAAAGGAGACGGCCTCTGGTTGAATTTCCACCTGAATAGTTCTCAAGACCCCAGGAAACAAGGCCTGAGGAAGGTACCAGCAACTGTTTCTCCTCTCTCAGCCACGAAGAGGAACGCTAGGTCATGGTGCAGGATGGGCATGGTGGGAAGAACTGTGTCTGTGGTGTTGGAGAAATCTGGGACCCAGACCTGCTGCCTCCTCGCTGTGTGCTGGGGCCAGTGACTTAGCCTCCCCAAGTGTCACCGTGATCATGCATAGTGGACGGGGCTGCAGAGAGGGCGACAGAGGAGGTGCGTGAGGACACAGGTCTGGGCCCAGGCTAGGCACTCAAGACCCAGTGCTTCATTGCTCCTGGAGGTGCAGAAGTGACCGGGGGTAAAGACAGGGCCTTAGGTGAAGTGAGCGGACTTGCTTGTGTGGGAGCTTCCCTACCCCACCCCTCTCATATTGTAAACCATGCTGAAATTGCTCTCTTCAGTGATTGGCAACAACTCAGTTTTTGGATAAAGCTGCAAATGGATAAATTAAGGCGGTTCTCCCTCTAGTAATGTGTTTTTTATGATTCTCTGTGTAATTTCTTAGGGACACAAACATGCATAATCCTCCAACCCTATGAGTTAATAAAGAAAAAATGCTGCATAGGGCCTTAAGGGTGGGGGAGGAGACGAAAGCCAATTATTATTATTATTTTCTGCCTTTGCAGAGATCAGAGCTCTGGTGGCCCAACAGTTAAGCACTCGGCTGGTAACTGAAAGGTTGGCGGTTTGAACCCGCCAGTGGCTCTGCAGGAGAAAAGACCTGGCAATTTGCTCCTGTAAAGATTACAGCCCAGGAAACCCTATGGAGCAGTCCTCTACTCTGTCACATAGGGTTGCTATGAGTCGAATTTGACTTAATGGCACCTTACAACAACAGAGGTCCATGGTGGCTCCGGGCCCTGGAAGCGCCCTCAGAACACTTGGGACTTTAATTCTCCTTTGCCTTTTCCCAGGGTGTGTAGGAGTGGGGGCAGGACTGGGTGGTGGGGGTGGGGAGCACTCACAGAGTGAGGCTGGGAGGATGCCGGAAATGGCAGGGCCAGAGCCTCGCTGGCAGGTGGAAGTAAAGAGGATGCCACTGACAAGTCTGCTTTCTTCTCCAATGGGAGCCACGCCAGGCACTGTGTGGGCGGCAACTGGGGTGATGAACTGGGAGGGTGTCCCTAAGGACCCCACTCTGCTCACCCTGGAGGAAGCAGCTGGCCCAGACAAGACACGCCCCAAGCCCCACGCTCTCATCACCTCCAGCGATGTCTGTTCCTCCCTGAACGCGCCCAGATCAGGCAGGATATTAAACCCCAGCTGGGGCAGAGACCCTGCCATTCCTGGTCAGAGGCCCTCCTCGATGTTGCCAAGCTATTTCAAGTCACTCTCCTTAAAGCCTCTCACTGCCTTCTGCCTGGAGAGATGGCCAAGTCTTTCCTTTAGCCTCAGGCCCTGCAGGGTCCAGCTGCAGCCTTGTTTCAGCTGCTCTCCCCACGAGTCTACTGCATCATTGTGGGCCTACTTGCTCACACACGAAGGACACCTGGACGTCTGTCATGTGCGTGGTTTCCCTGTCATAGCGTGGCCAATCACCTTCCCATTGGGCAGCAGGTCCCAGGCTTCATGCCACTTTCCCCAGAAGCCTTTGTTCCAAGGCTTGGTCAGATCTCCTTGTACATGCTCCCACAGCTGCTTCCCGGCACAGCTGTCATCCTGCTTTCTTGAATCTACCTAGTTTATTATCCTTCCAGCGTGAGACGAGTGAGGACAGGCACCATGCCCATAGCCCCACATGGTGGGGGGCCCACATGGGATACTCAACAATGGTTTGTTAAAGAAGGAAAACATGAGAAGAGAGCCCTGGTGCTGTCGGAGTGGTGGCTGGTTACACAAGGTTGGTGACAAAGTCCACATTTCAGGGAGTTTTTTTTTTTTT